ATGAAATTGTGATAATTTCAATTATTAAAATAGTGTTCTATTATGTTATACAAGATAGTGTTGGATGATTGTTTACATTAGTATTTTATCAGATCTAACAGATATCGAACTGAGATCAGAAACAGGAGTAGTATTAATATGTTCAATATAAAAAGTAATTAGAATAACGTATTTATATCACTCTTTCCATTCTTGGTTTCTTATTTTAGTTCCACGTCTTTTAGACCTGGTACATTTTCGTCGGGTCAAATTGAATTGCTTCCAATACTAGGTGGGATTACAAAAGGCAGTGTGTTTATCTTTGCTGACCCACCATTACAGGTCCTATCGATAGGTTATCTTTCATGTCACGTGTTTTGGCACGATGGAAAGTCGCCACATTGAACTTCTGAGTCTATAGGTTGAAACATCACTATCAACAGATTATGTACTGTCCTATATAGTGTCCCAGATAGTACAAAGGCACAACGGCGAGGCCAAACGTTAAATTTGTGGTCAAGAAAATGTCTTTTTGTTATTTTCTTTATGATAACAAGCTACACTACCACGGATCCGAGTTGAGTTTTCTAAATGTTAGTTTTTGTTTATAGAGTTAAATATCGTATCAAGAAAAGAAGTCACAACAGGAAATGCCTCCATGTGTGTAATGTATGTGCTGGAGGCGGTATGTATTTACCGTATTGCCATAGCGCCATCTGGTGCCGATTTTAAAATACATCTTCACTGAAATATCATGCTTAAGGCACCAAGAACAATTCTTCATCCTGTTTCATTATACTAACAATTAGTTGCGTTTAACGTTCATGTAGCCCGAGTTTCAAACTTAGACATTTTGCCATATAGATGTCTGGTGTCAAAATGCCCAAGTCTGGTGTTAGGGTCAGAGGAAGCTCGGGCTACCCTTCATGATGAACGTTCAGAAGGGAATAACAGCAATCATTGTTAAGGTAATTGGTATGTCCCAACCTTGGGTCAAAACAAGGCACTGCTTTCCTCAAAGGAACGACGGAAGTTGTGCATCATAGTACAGCCAAAAGTAAGGTGGTGTCGAGGGGGGAGTTACGATTCGTGCAAATAAAGAATAGATAAGAAAGAAAAACATTCAATCATTAGTTCCCAAATATCGCAATGGGGTGTGTTATATACATTATTGTGGCATCAAACACTTGTCCTGTGCCGCGGTTTCACGTCGAAAAATCCCTGGTATAACAGGGATTAGCGGATTGCTCTTCGTCTGGTCCCACACAAACATCCGGCCACAGCAAGGTGGCAACCCATTGGTGGGTCAAGGGTTTGGTCGCCACCTTACCAAGGACAATTCCATAAATAAATGCTTTGTAGGGTTGAAGGCATTTTAAGAGACCCCAACATTCATACAGTTTTAAAATGAAGCTTTTCTATCCGGACATATCTATCAGAGAATGTGCTTCCCACTCCTCTCGCGTTTCTTTTTCTGATATAAACATCAGCATGAAAAGGGAGTGGAGATTTGATATCAATTGATAAAATTTTACAAAATGTATTAACAACCAATGCATAACACAACCCACAATATTCAAAATTACTACAAAAAAATAATTCACCTTTGAATATTGAACAGATTCTTTATCATAAACATTAATTGTCGTTTTGTAATTCACTAATACGCCTCGTAATAACCGCAAGCACTACAAAAATTCAATCTAACGTTAAAATATTAAACGATGATCATACTTCTTTTCACAACGCTGTAATTACACTGTGCATGCAAAATGAACAAGTCCATTTTCATCAACACTGTCATTTTGAAATACACTTCAACGTTCCATTTGTCTGATCAGTATTCCTAAACAAGTGAATGACCACCGGATTTATCTTCATTATCGTTGTCATCAGATCTCTAGAAAAGACAATCCAGTCACGCAAGTGACAAGCTTGTCGTGAACATAATACAAATCGCAGAAGAATATCACAAAGATCTCCTTGAACAAGCGCAACAACTTCAAGTGGACGTCATTTAAATCACCGTTAACCTCCTTCTTGCTCATAGTTGGTACTAAGACAGACACTTTGTCCACAACAAATCCACCTTTCCTGAAGCATGTCGCCATGGTTTGCATGTCGGTGGCCTGCCACGACTGGTGGATCCAGTAAATGGTGCCAATAACAGAGATATGTTACAGTATGTGGCAGCAGCTCAGAACCAGTCATCTGGGGATATCAGGTCATGCTGCTGACCACTTGTTCTGGTAGGCGCTTCCTGAACTTCAATTTCAGTGTTTAGGATAATGCCCTGATCCATTGATTGTGTTTTTATGTTGTGTTGGGGGGCAGAAACTGGAGTGTGAAGTTCCAGCGTTAGTTTTGCATGTGCTCGGGTATTGCCGTCTCATCTTCCGGTCAAACGACTTAACCCAGTCTGCAAACAAGTTATCTAGGCAGTCTTGTTTGACTAGTACTTCGTCGATACCGTGTTGTTTAGTCGATTTTCTTATTATCACGATAGTTTTTTCTGGTGATGCTGGCACACAAAGATACAGTCAGACGTTCCTTTATTATCAGGATCTTGTAGAGCGTAATCTCTGCCATTGTCGGAAACCCATGTTCGATTATACTACCGTTTATCATACCACCATTAATCGATAAACGGTAGTACAATCAAACGTGGTTTTCCGACGATGAGGCTTTGCATATGACCTGTAACTTGCCATTCCATTCTTTGACAACCGTTTGTTTTACGCCACTGTTCTCATCACATATCGTACTAAGTGTTATGTTATGCCGTCTCGGCAGATGATTCCAGAAAACCGCTCGCGATGTCTTCAACTCTGTCACAAAAGCGCTTTCTACTTAAACGTCAGCCATCCACAATATGGTGGTCCTCTCGGAAACTTCCTGGAATCAGGTCTATAGAAGACTGTTGATGACCTCATTCCCTGTCTTTCGAACCTTTCGCTTCCGGTTGATTGCACTGTACTGTAAAGATACATAGACTCTCACGTTTTTTTCTTCGTGATTCTCTCAGAATGTTTCCGAAACGGTTTTCACAACGTTGGTCTCCTTCCACTAACCTACAATTATGTAAAATGTTTTCGTAAGTAAAAGCAGTACATATATATTATGTACTTGATGTATGCTTCCGTTTCGTATCATAAAAAAAATCATAATGTAGAGAGTCCCATCACTTCTGTCTATAGGCATTGAAGAGTTATCTTCCTTTTCAAGTAACATGCAAACATAAAGGCAGTTAATAAAAATAGCCGAAAACTGTTTTTTTAAATGAATATCATAACCTGTAGAGAATTGGATATGCTCACTCATTTTTCATCATAAGGTTTGGGTTGATTCCTGCAGCGGAAGTTTGTTGGTGGAAACAATTAAAATATATCAGTAATAAATGAATGATACCTTTTGCTATAATGGGCGAAGCAGAACAAATTGGGACACTTCTTTTTTTTAGGTTGAAGATGCAAACCAGAGTGATGTGCCTGCACACTGATTCGGTTAATGAACAAAGCGTTTATTAATGATACTTTATTAAATTTCTTAATTACCTCACACTAAAAATGTAATTTAACTATATCAAAATCATACAATTAAAAACAACCCTTAAAATAAAGATTTAATAATGCCGTACATTAAATTATCATGTGATTCACTTACAACTTACTGAATTTCAAAGTATGATTTCATAGCTTAGTCTTCATGATACCTGATAGTATACACTTACACAGCATTGACTTCTTGATAAGGCCTCATTTCCTGTACATCAATGCTTGGTATTAAACAATACTTGTGTTATGTATTTACTGTCAAAATGACGGTATAAAATCAATTTCAGTTGACCATATTATTCAATGACCCACTTATTGAATTTCTCAAATTATGATTACATAATTTGATTTCTACCAAACACTTGTATAAGCTCTGTGGTGGTATGCAGTTAAATAACACAGCTAAAATACATTTTATTCTCATATGTTATGTATTCTCTTTAGATTACAGCGGTAAGCCTCGCGCATTTTAGCCATCTACTGCATAAATAACGGCTAAATAAAATCGTGCGTAAATGTGTACGACATAATTCTCTATTGGCGGGGGGTTGACTCTTCCAGTTCTTGGTCCATTGTGTCCAAGGAATAAGACTACTATCATGAAAAAATAAGTCCTTGGTTGTACTGAGTGTTAGATCTGAGGATAAATAATAAAATTGTGACCTTCAACTTTGTGCAATGGGTATAATCATTACAGTCCCGGGAGACTGGGGTTAAGATCGCGGCCCCGGGGTAAGTCCGGCCAGCCCTGATATCTTGGGCAAATGTTTACAACTTTAAAGATCTTAGCAGTTTAGTTGTTTGGGCAGGACATTCACAAGAAAAACCGCGAGGACAACTCAATTATAAAATTACTAAAAGGGGAGAACGTTACTTTTGGGAGGGTAAAAGAGATTGCTATACTTATAATTTACGCCAGGTACCTGAACAACGCACTACAGCTTCGTATGATATTATACACAGGGACCTGAGCATTTGTTACAGCTATAGATTTGGACATATTGACTAAGATGTTTTAGAGTTATTTTACACGTTAGAGTAGTTAATATCAATTTTCGGGAAAGATGTAATATATATATATACTACTTTAATGTTTGAATTTGACAATCAGTATTCCCCTCACAAGGAAATATTTTTCATTGTATTGTTTAGCCTTTTACAGAGCCGTTTATATAACATGTAATTATTTATATACATTTGTATACGTCTCTGCCTTAATTTAACGTTAATATTAACTTAGTCATTGGAACTATAAACAGCGGATATAACTAGCAGGATAATATAATCCATAGTATTATCAATAGAAAAGTGTATTTTTCATATTAAAACGTTGAAAATATTCATTATATTAATGATAGAATGCATGTGACGTGTATCATTTACCTAAAAATAAATATTTCGAGCGATTGCATAACATCGAGGTCTACGAAACACTTCAACAGCAAGGAAGTATGAAGTTTGTCACGAACATTGATTTCCCACAATTCATCTATCGCACACTTCCGGTTGTGGATAAATTCACATGTTGAAAGGAAAGACGCATTTTATTGAAGTTAATTCTAGAAAAAGACAGTAAACAGTTACTTTTTTCTAACAGTAAAGATCATCTAAAAGGATAAGTCATGCCGAAAAACAAAGGTAATGATACATCACACATGTATTGTACGAAAATTAGGTGATTATTTCCATGGCCATATTTCATTTTTAATCTCCACAGGTGATCTGTGGTTTTTGGTAAATACCATAAATTGTTTTCATCTTTTCGAAGAACTTTTCCACTAGGTTCTTGGTAATGTGTATGTTGTATTTCAAACGCCTAACAAGTAAATGAATAAAAAATATAAGACAAATAGCGTATATATGGATGCCGTCAATCTGAACCTGACAATACGGTCACGTAACGTTTTACCAAGATTTCGTTCATCCGTATAAAGGATTCGGTTGTTCCGTACCAACATGTAATTCTTATATATTTGTGCAACATACCTGTCTTGGCTTAATCAACAAATTATTCATATCGTTTCTCATAAATTTATGGATTTAACAAACAAGCCAGCTGTGCTGTTTACAACAGGTCCAGTACGTACACTCTGCCGATTGAGCTATATTTCTCAGATTTCAATTTTCATTAAATCATCCTAATGCTAAAATCTTCTTTTAAAAGCGATTTTCTTTCATTTTACTTCAAAAAGAAAACCACATGAAAATAGCTCAAAAGACCTATTTCAGATAGGTCAATATAGCTATTATAGGTCTTTACAGCTATAGCTCAATCGGCAGAGTTTACTGGAACTGTACAACACAGAGTTAAGTTAAATTTACTATCAAAGTCAGTGTTACAATAACCAATTTAAGGGATGCCATAGCCGGAGTTTTCTCTGGCCCTTAGACCATACTAAGACATAGATGTCTGATGTGTGGCCAAAGCGCACTACTATATGAAAATGTGGGATTCCCCCACACTATTTGGTATCGGAGAGTTATGAGGTGTAAAAGATCAGCATTGATTAGGTTGCCTTACAAGAATTTCCCTTTAGCTCAGCGGTAGAGCATTGGGCTGGGGAGCCAAGGGTCGGGGTTCGAACCCCAGCAACGGCACTATCATTATCACTTTATTCCTCTTCCTACTACAAACTGGTGCCGTTGACCCTTCACGTTCAAGGTAAGGGAACCCTTGGCAGGGAGTCAAAAGAACCTGGGTTTGTGTTTGAAAAAGGGTGAAATTGTGTAAAAGATGTGCATCAAATTAGGTTGCCTTACCTGTAGGGAATTTCCCTTTAAGCTCAGTGGAAGAGCATCAGACTGGAGAGACAAGTGTCGCAGGTTCGAGCCCCAGCAAAGACAGTCTATCTGTATTACTATTCCTCAATCCTTTTCAATCGTTCAAATTTCCCTATTAAGCGCACACCATTATTCTAGATCAGTGGAGTGACTAATCAACAAAAGGAGGTGGTCCGAAAATCTTCTAAACAGGAATGATATATTCTGTTTTCGGTCTGGATTAGTACTGTTTGTTGATTAGTCATCCCCATGACCTACAAAATAGTGTTCTCTCAGGTGGGAAATTTTGAAAGATTGTAAACCAAATACTCTACTGACTGAATTCCGCAGCTGTTGGTGATAATAAGAGCGGATTTGGATCAATAAATAATCCATTTATCAATTTATATGAGGTATGTGTTGTGGCATAGAAGATTTTTGTCGTCAGCACCTCAGATCATAACTCTCCAATACCAAACAGTTTCGAAGAATTTTACATTTCAATTTCATATAGTTGTACACTCTGGCTCTACAAGTACACCAGACTTCTATAGCTATCTGTCAAAATGTCTCAAGTCTAGTGTGCACATGGGGGCCAGAGAAAACTCTGGCTAGGGATGCCACTGAATTTAGTGCAACGCCTATCCAGAGAGCACTCTATGACATTCACACACACCCTGAAAATAATTCAAAGGGACATTTTTTTTAATTGGTAATAAATGTACAACCATATACCTTTGTGTGGTTTGAAGTTTTCCCAGAGACACCCCTGTCATTGTGTGCATACTCTAGATCTATTTTAACCTGTTTCTATTTATTCATATCCAACTGTGAATGGAACTGTCTCATTACTTAAGATTTATAGAAAGTATTACAATACTTATTGTTATTATTGCTTGCAATTTATTGTGTAAATTCAAAGCGACAAGAAGGTCTTGTGTGTGAAATCAGATCTAGACTCACTGACACTGTTGTCAGTCAACAGTGTGGTACTGTACATGTTAAGTTCTCACTGGAAGCCCCGGATATTTATCTCTGGGTTTCCAAAATGATGAATCTGACCACACTAGACATCGGCTTTAGGTCATGTCATTATCAGCTATGTAGTACTCTTAAGTATCTACTTGGTTTTTAGTGTGTCATTTGATTAAATGGCCCCTTTAAATAATTATGTTAAATGTGGTACCAATATAAGTCATATACAATGTAAAACTTTGGTTCACATAAACCTTAAATTATTTGTACATATAAGTATGTACTAATTAAATCCTAGTACAGGTTGAGAGGTACAGAACGAATTGCTCGAGGTACTGAATAACTGGATTTCTATTCATGTATATTTATATAATTAAATGAAAAAAAGTTGTTAAAATTATATTAATTATTATTTGTATCTTTATTACAGGAAAGGGAGGAAAAAACAGGAGGAGGGGTAAAAATGAGAACGAAAATGAAAAGAGAGAGCTGGTGTTCAGAGAAGACGGCCAAGGTATAAATGATCAAGATCACCTTATAATCTGATTAGAAGCTATATACCAGTATATATAGGCTTTCATTTCAAACCAGTACCCAGTAAAATCTTCATTTTCATCATTTACTTTTTGCAGAGATTATAAAAAATAGCTTAAACATCAAGGGGGGNATGCCTATTGGAAAAGCTTTACTTCATAGACCAAGGTGTTTTTTAGTCATTTAATTCAATAATTTCCTATGATAAATTTCATTCAATGATTAAGATGTATACATTGAAGTAGTGAGTGAAATCTCTTGTATTCCTTTATTGTAAAACACATATTTTCTTTATTTCATGTTATTGAACACTAAATATATCAGTAAAACTTTTCTGGCCAAGGTCTGATCGATAAAATGTTCTATGGGTCTATATATAAAGCAAAAAAAGATGTCAAATTCATAGATCTGTTGTCAATGGTGTTTTGTATCTAAATTCTAAGAGTAATTGGATAGCAAATAGTTTACTTTTCTGGTATTTATTTACATGAGTACATCAGGTCAATTATAGACATATTTATCAAACAAATTTAATTAATTGGAATCAAAATACAATTATTACTTTCAATGTGCATTGTTCTACAGAGTATGCACAAGTTACGAAGATGTTGGGAAATGGACGATTAGAGGCACTTTGCTTTGATGGAGTGAAGAGGTTATGTCACATCCGAGGAAAGCTGAGAAAAAAGGTACTTTTAATGAAATATTATTTTGAAATCATGCAGACAAGAATGTAAATATATAATGCATAATCGCCCCATGTAAATTTTAAATTGAGTTCTAGCTGATTTCCGGCTTTGTGAGAATTTTGCCATGGCTGAACTTGCCTGCTCTCTTAACAACCAGAAGTGAATACATCCTCCTATAAATAATGTTAGCTTCAGGGTCGTTTCACCAACAATATTAACACAAGTCAAGATTTAGAAGATATTAATTTCTGATAATTATTCTAGGTGTGGATAAATGCTGGAGACATCATCCTACTGGGACTAAGAGATTACCAAGACCAAAAGGCTGATGTCATCCTGAAATACACACCAGATGAAGCTAGAAATCTGAAAGCTTATGGAGAACTTCCAGAATCTGGTATGATTTGTAGCCTGCATATATCCTATACATGTACCATAAAAATATCAAATTGTCTTTTCTCACATATAGTACTGCAGGTTTCAACTTGAACAATAACAGTAGAACTGGTTGCTCAAGGCTGTCTGAATCAAAGCTAGTATCGGGCTGTGCACCCTTGTATCCTGGATAAGCAGTCTAGCCAACTGATTAGACTAATTTCTGATGTCACCAAAAATTTAATAGTATTTTTGCTTACACTAAAATGTAAAATTTTGCATAGATCTTTGCTTCAAATTTTTCTTGAGTTTTGGCTAAATGCTTTCTTTTGGCTTAGACCAAGCAAAAAGTCATGTTTGTTAGGAAGGTAATAAATATTATTTTTCAAACTTTTTTGATAAGATTCATATTTGAGAGTGATATTGACTTTAAAAGGGCTTCCTCAGACATATATTGATTTATATCTGTGATAAAGAAATGCAGAAGTATTGGCTAAAATTGCTGGGGAGGGACACTGTGATTATATCTATATGTTTTCTTTAATTACTTCGCAGCCAAACTCAACGACAACCTCTTTGATGAAGATAATCAAGATGAAATTGAGTTCCAGAATAACTTTGATGGAGACGATGATGATATTGATGATGTGAGTAATTTGATATTGATTTTGAAGTAGATTTAAGTTTGAGAATATGATTGCTGATGTAACAATATATATGACCAGGTAAAACGCTGATGTCACAATATATATGACCAAGTAAAACGCTGATGTAACAATATATATGACCAAGTAAAATGCTGAGGTAACAATATATATGACCAAGTAAAACGCTGAGGTAACAATATGTATGACCAGGTAAAACGCTGATGTAACAATATATATTACCGAGTATAACGCTGAGGTAACAATATATATGACCAAGTAAAAATAACACAGCTACAATGTAGTACCGATAGAGGTAAAATCTGTATAAACAGTGTTACGGGGGAAATCACCCCATCATTCCTTATCTATGGATGTTCTTTTGACTAACACCTAATGTTGTATCTGTTGTGAAATAATAAAAAGAAACATTTTGGAGATGGTATATAAAATGTTATCCATTCTTCTTTTCCAGATATAAACAGTTGCCATAATTTTCTGGCAGAATGCAATGAAGTAAAGATTTTCAACGCTTCAAGACTTATTAGCAGGTGTCTATGAACATAAACTGTCTGCTATTGATTAATTGTGAGATTGATTCAAGTGGGCGTACTACTCCATTTTCATTACAAGCATATATAGTAAACTTGATGTGGTGACACTTTGTGATAATGCATGTAATGAAGTAAATTCTATGGAGAACATGGACAAACTATTCTCACAGAAAGGATTATTAATTCCATACAGGTGAATAGTGGGGAAATTAAAATGATGCAGTTCTGACTGTAATCTGGAAAGAAAACTGCTCTTAAGACTTGTTATCAGAGTGAGTGCTTCATAATGTTGTTGATTGTTGTTCCATGGGTTATCCTTTTTCTCTTCATTCATGGACCTATTCTATATGAGACATTGTTAAATCAAAAATCTCCGATTTCTGAAGTGATAAATTTGTAGGGTATTCTTCAAATTGTTACAGAGCAGAGCTTGTCTCGCTTTTCAATGTTTTTCCAACTGAATAGATTTTTGAATTTTCCTAACTTTTTAATATTGTGTCCGGGTTTAGTCTATTAATATAAAGCATGATGTAAATTTATGACTGAAAGCACAGATAATGTATTCAGATCTTTTTCTAGTTGCACATTTTTGTACTTTCAAGTCTAAATTTAACATGGGAAAGATGAAGATGAGTTTATTTACAAATCTCAATCACAATGTTAAACTGGCAATTTGTACGATATTGATGATGTTGGATACAATTTCCTTTCAGAATTGAGTTCTTTAATACATGTGCATTGCATTTGTCTTTATATGTTATGTGTCTAGTTCTTTGCAAATCTGTTTGGTTTCAAGATCAAATTTAAAAATTGTGAATTTTTGAATTGATGAGATTTTGCCAAACATTTTGATTTTAATAAGGATTTATAGGGAGTAAGTGTTACAGGTCTGAAATTGTAAATTTAATATGTTTAAAAAGTTGAAAAAGCAATCAAAATTTTAATAGGTTAGCTTGACTTAAAATTGTGACACCAAGCTTAAGAATGAAAACATTTTGATATAAAAAAAAATATCCAGATGACTTTGTTGACACAAAGTGTGTACTTTTCCATATTGAACAGTGATAAAATTCTCAAATTCTGTTCTAATCTTACACCATCTTCACTTTACAGTAAAATCGGAAATTGGGATGTATAGCATTAAACAGTACATCTGAAACTACACAAACTTTAGTTTTAAAAACTAAATTCATGCAACTCATATTTGTTATATTGCTGCAATCATTTGATACACATGATCATTTACTTAGAACATGTAGATGGCACTAGAACAATACACATGTATAGTGGAACACCATATATCCAAAACTCTTTTTGTATCCAAATTCTTCTCGGGAGGGGGGGGGGGGATAAATTATAAACAAAAATTGAAAACCCAATCTAATGCTTTCAGCTGTACATATTTTGTTGAATGATGGCTGAAGTCTGCATCTCCTCTAACTGCCAGCTGAAGATTATGTAACCACATGATCTGCAGTTGTGGCAGTCGGATGATGTGGAAGTCGTTATTCAAATCATTATTACTGTATCATATATTTCGAGTACATACCAATCTTGATGATACTAGACTACATTGTACACTGCATGTATATATAGTGAACTTGCATTGCATTTATGTCTGGTTTATAGCCTCCACTATACAGGTTCTTGTTCAATTCACATTTCTGAACAATCCGATTGATGAAACAAATGTTTGTGCTACAACTTGTTTGGATATATGGTACTGTACTTTAATACTTGAGTATTTTTATTTTGACCTTAATTAAAACAATAGTCTGGTTGTCTTTTGAACTTGGTAACCATGTTGAGAGGATGGACGGTTTTGGTGTGTAATTAATTATTTTGTATGAAGACAACAAAAGAAAAAAAGAAACTGACAATTTCACTGTTTCATAACTGTTTTGAATTATAAAAAATGTATAAATAAAATTTAGACCTAATCTTATATGTTTCTTATCTGTTTACATAATTTGTGCTGTATTGCTAAGTTTGGTGTGATACAATTTTACTCCCCAAGAAATGGTTTAATTTCAACCAATTTTGTGCTCACATTATTCACATTGACAAGTGAGTTATTGAGACTACCCACTTCTGACTGGTCAGTTTGTTTTATGCACTACCTCCCTTTAAAAGGGTTCGATTTCAACCAAATTTTATGTGAAATGTACTTTATTTTATTATATGTGATACCTAGGGCTAAGTTTGCCAGCTGCAATAAGTCAGAATTTTTTAGTATCTCTTTATCCAACTTCAGCAGAAACCGAAGATTTGCCTAGATTGTCTGCTTGGGATTATCCAACCATTTCACTGAACTTCAACAATGGATAAGAAGTATAAGGTGTCTGTACCTGTATCTGTATCAGCATGATATACGTTGTAGATCCCAAATACTGCTTATTTGACATGCAAGCAGTAGATATGAAAATAATTGGCTCAGTAATATTTAGTCTTTTCCACAAGTTCTTGAGTAACGTCATGGTTATCATGTATTTTTGCATCCACATGTTCTACTCGTCATTTCCCACCTGTGCCGATGTAAGATATATGTGTCCCATATGCAATCCACATGGGTGCACTGGGTGACCTGTACTACATGTATTATGTTAACGTTGTCATAAACGGATGACGTGCTCTATTATGACATTACAATTGAAAAAGTGATTAGCATTGCTGTACCAGCTGCTCTGAAGGTCTTTCATGGATCTTTAAATTGAGGTATACCCTGTTTTATACTTTACAAATGTGGCCTTGGTTTGTGCATTCATAAACTAGAAATTTTGCTTTATTTAGTGTTCCATTCTCATTGCCTATGATCATGACCTGCTTTACTGAAATGTTGCTTACCAGGTAAGAGGTAGGAGAAAAAGAGTAAATCATTTCGTAGGTATGTGGGATATTGAAATTCTACCTTTGGCTGCAGGATTTGGTGTCCGAACCTCTGTTTTAATACAAATTGGGAAGCATATCCATATCCCACATACCAACATTTGATTGAATCTCTTAATCCAATTTTTCCCTGGTATATTGAAATAACTCACTTCGTTTATACCAAGGCTTAGTACTGTCTGCCATTCAAATGAAGTGAGATAATTTTGTCTTGGTATTGATTCCCATAAAATTAGTCTTGGTCAATTAGTGTGTATGTTAGATACATATACCTTTATGAAATTCAGTTGCTGGGTACTTGCATTGCAGACAGAATTTAAGTTGTGTAGTGAGCTTTATTCAGATCACTGCCTTGATAAATTGATCGCCTCAAGATTGATCAGAGATTTTATAAGAGCTGAACTTTCATGATCAGTAAAAGTTTATAGATGGGCCATAAATAATTTTTTGACTGTCTAAGATATCTTTAACAATGTAAGATGGCCATAGTTTTACCAACAGATGTACTATAATTAAGTCACTGACCTTCACCTAAAGGTCAAGGGATCGGTAATTAAGAGATCCTTCCTACTCCTACGTTTATGCATGGATTTTGATGAAACTTTGCACACATAGTATCCCTCAAATGAACTTGTGTCTCCCCAAAATGCCTTGTGTTCCTTCAATATTTACCAGTGTTATGGCCCTTGACTACTGTGGACGGTACATGACTTTACTGAAATTACTAAATATCTCAGAAACGGTAGGTATTTTGTATACACATATACATTGAATTATTATAGGCATTAATGCAATCTATGCTACTGACAGCTTCCGAGGTCGTGGGGTCAGAGGTCAAAGTTCATGAATGAATTATGTTACTGAAATGGCTAAATATCTCGGAAACAGTAGGTATTTTGTATACACATATGTAATCTACGCTTCTGACAGCTTCCCAGTTCGTGGGTCAGAGGTCAAAGGTCACACATGAATTATGTACTGAAATGGCTAAATATCTCCGAAACGGTCAGTATTTTGTATACACATATACCTTAAGAAAATCGTAGCATTAATACAATCTACTCTACTGACAGCTTCCGAGGTTGTGGGATTAGAGGTCAAAGGTCACAAATGAATTACGTTACTGAAATGGCTAATTATCTCGGAAACAGTAGGTATTTTGTATACACATATACATTAGAGTACTGTAGGCAATTATGCAGGCTATATTGTGACAAACTTCAAATGTTGTGAGGTCAAAGGTCAAATGTCACAGATGCATTATGTTACTGTAATGGCTAATTATCGCAGAAATGGTAGGTATTTTGTATACACATCCCATGGAGTATACGTAGCATTGATGCAAGCTACATTGTGACAAAATTCTGAGGTCATCTGGTCAAAGTAGCTGTGTTTGTTGTTTCCATTGGTCTGTTGGTACGATAGCTGCAACACACAGCCAGAATGCTGGGGGTATTAGTTAGCTCATAGGCGACAGTTCTAGTTATATATTGGTAATGAAAAGCCACTCACTTACTTGTTCAAACCAACTACATGTACCAGTAGTAAGTACTGAATATATCTGATAACACCATGGCCAATCCTAATTGATATATTCCAGACCATAAATTGCTTAAATTTTATACAGCGTCTGCACAAAGGCGAATAACCTTTTAATTTGGGGCTCCAAGGTCAAGACACTACAAATGTCCTTGTAATTTATTATCTTCTCTTTGAAAATGACATTAATACTAATATAATCGGCTGTCTGTCTTATCTTCACATCTGCACAATTATTAACTTGAGTTTTTGTGGTTCAAACATGCTGACTCAGCATTGCTTTTCAGGTTTGGTAGGTCATAGGTCAAGGCTACTGTTTGAATGTAAATGATCACCTTTAAGCCAAGCCATTTGAAAAATTAACATAAATCTCAACTCAAGCACCTAAAAATAACTCAACTAAATTCTTAGTTTCAATTGATTTTTATTCTATTCTAATAATTTGTATAAAAAACTTATCTGTTGATACTATAATGTGTAACAACACAACAGATTGATTCCTCTCGACACAGCATACCTATACTGACAAAATACAACACACTATGTATGACACTGACAGAGCACACCACTGATAGGATACAACACACTATGTATGACACTGACAGAAATATAGCACCAAAAACATCACATCATTCTTTGGTATAGAAATATGATAATTATATATATTATAGTTTGTTGCCATGGAAACAAAATCATTGGAATATTATTTAGTCTATTGCAACAAAATGGAATGTGAACAACATTTACTGGTAATGAGATTCATTTGTCAATTCTTGTAGCATCATGTTTCAATAGTGAATGCTCTTATAAAAAAAAAAAATGGGATTCATAAACAACACTTGAGGCTGAGGTGTTGTTGTGTCTTTTATGACATAATGTAATATAACAGTATGTGTGACATCAATCAAAGTTATACAATCACAATCAAGACAGCTAGGACATGTGACACACAAAACACATACCAGGTATACAGATGTGGTACAAATTGAAAGATAAGATTGACAACATATACTCAAAATATGGGCATTTTATCATTCGTTAATAAAAATTAAATGTAAAGACAAATCCATGTAGTCACACACAAACAATGTCTAGTGCTTTCTGTCCCCCAAACACAAAATATTTTCACTCCCTCCCTGTAACCTGCACAGGAATGGGTTCCAGGTTTTTACCATGCTTTCTCAATCAAAATTGACTCATGTAAATGTTGCTCTGCTAAACCTTTATCTTCAATTGTTGATAATCGTCATACTTGCACAGTTACTCGTTCAATAATGGTGGTGTCATGTTCTCACATTCTTACGGGGAACTGGTATATAGGGGCGTCTTTCGTACCCAACACCCTGCATGTTTTATTCAACATTAAAACCAGAAAAAAAAAAGTTTGCATTGACCCCATATTGATGTTGCCAATATATGCTCTGGAAACTTATAACTTGGTAATGGTCTAAATCAAAGATCAAAAAGAGGTCACATCAGTCTCTATTTGGTTCACAACTCAACCTTATCATGGTATACCCAGATACTAAGTCTAAAACCCATATATAAATGATTGTGCTTGAAGGAGCTGGAACAGATGGACATACAATGCACACACCATACTTCATTCGAAGTGGGAGCGCAACAAACGTGAATGATGAAATGTGAACTAAACATAGTATATAACAACTAATGTAAGGAAAAGGTCTAAAGATATGGAATAACTAATAATGCTGGAATATTTCTTCAAACATGAAAAACTCCTACTACAAACTTCATATCTACCTGAGTAAATCTAGCACAGTAAACATTGTAAACTTGAAACAGAAAATAATGTCATGAAAAAGGTAAAAATACATTCTTCTAAAACCATTACATTACTTAGAGGATCCCTGTCCCACTGCACACAAAACACTGAAATATTCCACTGAAGTACATACAGTTACCTCCCCTTAATTTCGATCTGGCTATAACTGTTGCACATGTTGGCCAGGGTACTACTATAGACCAGGTAGCTCAGTTTGTTAGAGCAACAGTACAAATGATTAGAGGTCCAGGGTTTGAATCCTAGTCAGGCCCCATTGCATTTTTCTCTTTTACAAGGGAGAACGAGATCCAATGTCTACTGATGGTATGTTCAGTGAAGTTCAGCATACCCTCTCCTTTTGTTAATTTTAAAATTCTGCAATGTATGATTTTCTTTTTGAAATTGATTTAAAATTTTAGTTGTTAAATAATACCCAGTAGATAGGATCAGTTTTTGGCAATGGTACATGCCTCACTAAATCGAGTTTCCAAAGTAAATGTTAATTAAAAATGCATAAAACAAATCACACTCTTTACATCAGAAAAAATGTTGTTGAAACATGAGTTTGTGACAGTTTCATAGTTACAGGAATCCTGATGTAAATTCTGAGCTATCATGAATGCCTCGTGTAATGAAAGTGGAATTCAACAAGTAGTTTAAGGAGATTGGAGTTCAACACAACATACAATATTTACAGTAACTTGTTTTTGACATTATCATTCATCCAGTTTGCGTTTGGGTTTCTTTGGATTGCGTGATCTACTCTTGGCTTTACACAAAGGACATATGGGTGCATTCCTGTGGATCTGCTGGTGACAAGATAAGCAAGCCTGCAAAACAAAAGGATTGATGACATAAATGAAGGGTACACCAAAGTACATGAATTGATGTTATGTAGGTGAAAAACGTTTGCGAAAAAAAAATGGAAAATGAAAAAAACTTTAAGAATGTATTTTATTAATTTTTTTTTACAAATGTTACCATTAAATTGTTACTTTTTATTTTAATCCTATCTATAAATTTTGTTACACATAATTCTGTTCAAACCCACAAATAGTTACTTTTAATGCTGTTCTGATATACAGATTGTACTTATGCATTAAAACCTTACAAATTGTAAATGCTTTTAATTCTGTTCTTATTCACACAATGTACTTCTTTGAGTTTTAATATTAATTATAAACTCTAACTTCTATCAATTGTTATCTAACTCATATTTCTTTAATTACTTCTCATACTAAACAGAAATTGCTATTTCTCCTACATTGTATTTATAACGTCACCCACACACTGTTACATCACATAAAATATGGAAACAGATGTAATATTGGGCATGACAGTAATATCAATCACCTTGTAAATGTGTCAATGTAAATATAATAAGACTTCCAAGTGTTGCATACCTTCATAGGTGGAGGCTGTTGTCTGAATGTCTGTCTCTCGGCAGGCTTGTTGCGAGGAACCTGGATCTGTTGAGCTGCAGCTGCTGCGATGGCAAGAGATTGAGGAAGTTGAGGTTCTGGCTGTGGCTCTGCTACCCAATCCTTGCTCTGCTTCTCAAAATACCTGTAGTAGACCAATTTACTGTAGATGGTTTATACCCTTTTGGATAGAGAAATAGAAATTATACACTACAGGGATTTCGGTTTTATTAATGATACAAATACATGTTTCACTCAAGTATAATACAAAACATATTAACTTGACAATCTGAGTCTAAGTACCCACACTGGTAATGTTTCTACATATCTTAAGTTTCTTACATGTTTATCACACAATCGGTCTGTTATCCAGTGAATTCGCCGCGTAATATTTTTACATATGTCACTAGTGTAATATACCCTTGAGCATTTTTCTTTGGCTGTGCCAGTCAGAAATCGATTGTGACGTCATAATATGGACAATGACGTGACCTCATGAACTGTGAATGGCACAACAAAATGGCTGTCTCCGTTTGATTAAACCCTCTACATTTTGGCCTGTCAAAATGTAAGTTTTCTAAGTTATGTGATAAAAAGTATCTTGAATTTGTTTTTATTTCATATGACCTTTATGAAACTTATCTCGAAGTTTTAATTTTTGCTCGTCAAGGCTTGCAGAAATAAAAACTCTTAAGTCTCGTTTCATAAAATCTCATATGAAAGGTAAACTCATTTAAGATCCTATATATAGCATTCACTAACAACCTTCTCAACTCATCAAAAACAGTGACATCAATTAACATTAAATATGTTTACATACTCAGGTGTGAGTTTCTCATCCTCGTCCTGAAGGTCTGGCAACTTGTCCATGCCAACCACTGACCGCATCTGGTCAACTTCACCCTTCAGTGGACGGAATTCCTCATAAAGTTTCTTCGCAGATTCCAAGGACCTGCTCCTCTCCTCCTCAGCCTGCTTGATCGTTGTCTCCATCTGTAGGGGGAAAGTTTTTTTCTTGAACTAACTTTCATTAATGAAGTATTTATGTGAAGTTTGGCAAAAGTAAACAAATATATGAATACATGCTTTATCAAATAACATTGATTTAAAATGATACGATTACGTATAAAAGGTTATCAATTATATTGCATTTCTACGCCAAATTAAAGTTATGAATAAGAAAACAAAACTGGTTCAATCTTGTCTTGTCAGTTATAGAATTCCAAAGAAGTTTAAATGTGTGTCTCTCTCATTTCATGATTTAATATACACCTTTTGTAATTTCTTTTAAGAAATTTTACAAATACTTATTATTATTCAACAAAAATTATTGACAACTCACGATTCGGAAATGTAAAATTACCTGTATCTTACACCTTGTATACTCATATGAAAATCGTGCAAGTTAAGAAGAACAATTTACATTTCTTAAACAGTTAAAACCTGTTTGATATTTATTGATCAAAAATGAGGTTGATAATAAGTATAATGATATCTTAGATGTACTAACCAAATTTATATCAGCATGTATAAGTCGCAGCTCTTCAACATGGGCCATCTTTTCCTGTAGTAGCAGTTCCATTTCTTGGCGGTATTCATCTAGCCTCTTTTCTTCGCTGTCTGTTATATCTAACTCTTGGCGTAACCTAGATCTCACCTTGTCGAGTTGAATGGACCGTGATCTGAAAGAAGAGATTTGCCTGATTTAATTCCTACTTGCTTGCTTGTGTACCAGAGGACATAATTTTGATATAAGTTGTGTTGTATTTATATTAATATGTAATAAACTCACACTCTGGCTATCCCTTGGCTCAAGAATTTTATGATGTATTTGTTACATAGGATTTAAAACATTCACGTTAGCATGAACGGTACGTTTTATATGGAACTACCTACATGTACCAGAATTGTATTTCAGTTAAAAATTAGGATTTATTTTTGAGACTACAGTACAGTAAAATTGCAGGGGTCATTTTCCAATTCACAACATCTTTAGCAAATTGCCGAAATATTTTCAGAGTGCGAAACAACTTAGGAAGTACCGAGACGTATCACAGAAGGACCGCAACATCTCGTTACCGAAATTAAATCGACCAACGCTGAAAATGTCAGTAGCGTCGCCTGGAGCAGGGACAGTATATATCTATTATACGTCCCTGCCTGGAGATTGTTTCCTTATAAACTTCTCTTCAAGCTCAGTTTTACTCAGTCAGTAATACAGTACCTAACAAACTTGTCTGTTTTGATGGGTTCTGATATGTGTCTCTTGTTTACGATGCGTTCAAATAGCTTTAGTAATTAGGTTACAGAGTTTGGGTGTTGGGTGTTGGGGGGGGGGGGGGGCGAAAGGACAGTCAAACTCAAAGAAATATTGATTTGAATATTTGGTTATATCTCTCATTTCATCGCATTTTCAATGCAACGTATACCTGTGTAACTAATCATGTGTAAGTGCCGTAAACATACCGTACTTCCTTCAAGCTCTCAAGCTTATTTAGTAGCTCTGTTTCGCGTTCGTCCATGTTGTAAATAATGAGATCTTTGTCACAAAAGTGCTTCTATAGCCGGGTTAGAAAAGCGTTATGGTAACCCCCAACTTACTAGACTTGCAACGCCCCCAGTCGTGAAGACGCTTCACTGACTGATACTTTTGCGTTCCTTTTAAATTGAGTGTAAATAATATTGTGCGTTTGTATACCAGACCACTGCTGGTCTAAAACCATAATTACGGAAAATCTCGATCCATTACCGGGCCCGAATTTTTGTTAGGTTATAAAATAATTGTATTCCGGTTTAAGAATCACTTTAGTAAAACAGTGACGTACATATATACCTACTGGCTTTATATGTCGCTGCTTAAACCGTAACTATACTATATAATAATCCAGTTCTATATTGTTTCATTATGTAACACGTTACTGAACCTATCTTGCGTTTAAGGATAAATGACGGCGTGTTGTAGATCTAGAGTTACTGCTACCAATGACACTC